GGGCCATTCACCATCCACCATCCTTAGCTGTTTCCTTCGTCCTTCATGCAATTCTGTGCATGTGTACACTGGGAACAGGCCCCAGCTGTTCGTCTGCATCACTGATGTCTGACTCTGTAGACAGCTGATAACTGTCAGATGGCCCTGGACCCATCTTAAGAGCCGAGGTGGCGCAGTGGTTAAAAGCAGCACTGCAGGCTACTTCAGCTGACTGCAGTTCGGCTGTTCAAATCTCACTGGCTCAGGGTTGACTCAGTCTTCCATCCTTCCGAGGTGGGTAAAATGAGGACCCGGATTGTTGTTGGGGGCAATATGCTGACTCCGTAAACCGCTTAGAAAGGGCTGAAAGCCCTATGAAGCAGTATATAAGTCTAACTGCTATTGCTATCTGTGCCTCCGACACAGAGCCCTCATCAGAGCCTTCCCCAGACTCCAGGACTGGCCCATGTTCCTCCCCAACCTCCTCACTGTCCAAATCTGTTCCTTGCTTTATGTAACTACATTTGTTGCATCCATTGTGATTAATTAAATTACAGTTCTCTTGTTATGTCAGAAAAATAAAACTGGTTTCCTCTCTCTGATCAAACGGAATACACAATGGATTACTCCCTGGGTTTCTTAAACCATTATTTCCCGTCATAATATGAACTGAGAAATTGTAATTTTGTATCCGGGTTAATACAAAGAAATTAATCAATTTCCAGTTGAGGCTGCATGAGAAATTTAAATGGTGCTGTTTGACTGCAACGCATAGGGGAAACTTCTTTAAAAGAACCTAACTTTTGAGACAGAGAGGGTTTAATACAAGCCAGGCCAGGCCAATGCGTTAAAGCAAATATTTTGTGATGCTGCCTTTCTTGCCACAGTTGCTAAGTGAATCACTGCGATTAAATTAGTAATACAATTGTTAAGTGAATCTGGCTTCTCCCATTGACTTTGCTTGTCAGGTTGCAAAACGTTTATCACGAATGCCCGCAACACTGCAGCCATCATAATTGCATGCCAGTTGCCAAGCATTTGAATGTTGATCATGTGACCACAGGGATGCTACTAACAGTAGTAAGTGCAATGGACTGTTGTTAAATGGTTGTAAGTCAAGGAACACCTGTAGTTCAGAAAGCCATCATCTATTTTTAAATTAAAGAAATTGTTAATAATCCCTTATATCTCCCAAATGCAATCCGGAGATCTCTTCTTTAAAGCTTAACGCCGCTAAAAAGTATGTGGCTTTTTTAGCAGTTCGACATATACCGCTTCATAGGGCTTTCAGCCCTCTCTAAGCGCTTTACAGAGTCAGCATATCGCCCCCCCACAGTCTGGGTCCTCATTTCATCCACCTCGGAAGGATGGAAGGCTGAGTCAACCTTGAGCCGGTGAGATTAGAACCGCTGATCTGCAGATAACCGTCAGCTGAAGTGGCCTGCAGTACTGCACCCTAACCACTGCGCCACCTCGGCTCTTCCCTTTTTTGTTTCCCTCGCTTCCTATAGCCAAGTTTTTTTCTTTTTTCAGTGACACCACAACACTCTAAAGTCCTTGTCACAACACTAAATTAAAGGGCTAATGGGCTATTGTGATTGCAAGGCTACATCAAAATCAATTACAGTGCTCAGACTACGAGCAGCTACTCTAACGCTTCAGTAGCCTCTCTCGTATCCCTAAGTAGCCTCGTAATTTAATTCTAGTCTTTCTCTCCCCACTCCCCCACTCCCATCACCACCATGCACTTCAGAGACTACTAAATAACTAGAAATGGAGCCTCTTCCTCGACAGTTCACTAGCTGGTTTAATGGGCCACGTATGCAGGAATTGCTAATAATTCATCAGTGACTAACAGTTCAAACAGCAGATACCAGGATTATCTTGAATGGTGGTGTGGTGGTGCTGAGATGAATGGCCCCGGATGATTAAACTGTAATTTATCAGTGGACTAAACTGCACAGTGATTATTGCAGGTTCCTGGAGAGTGTAACGGAAGATGGAAAGTATTAGTGTCTCAAAACAAATTCTTCCTATTTGGTTGATTGTATTTGTGAAAAGGAGAGTGAAAAATGGATGCAGAAAAAGCCTTTCCTTTTCCGAAGCAGCTGTCTTAAAGATGGCTTGATGTGTGATTTACATTTTTCCTTGTTCATTTAGAGTTTTTATTACAGCCCCTTCTGGATAACTTATAGGACGTGCAATTTTTTCACACACAAATAGGCTCTCAGAATCACACTCAAGATTCACAAAATCATTCTTTGTTATTATAAAGATCAAGATTAAAACCACTTTACAAATTAGGCTTGGGCCTAAGCCAGGAAAAAAAAATAGAAGATTTAAGACACCCATATTGCTCCTGAAAATTCCTCAAACATTCACGGGTCTCAAAAATCTTTGACCCGAATTACTTGGGTAAGACTCTAGACTTTTGACAGATTTGTAAAAAATGATTCTCAGAATTGTATTTGCAATTGTTAAGTCGAGGCTGAAGATGANTCCGGGAACGGCGAAGGGTGTGCCCGCCCGCGGTCCTTACCCAGTTTTGACAAGTTCTGCGCTTCCACGCATGCGCAGGACGCATACAGTGCCTGCGCGATCGTCCAGGAGCAGCTGGAGCATTGCGCAGACGCTAGTACGCATGCGTGCACCGCGCGCGTGCACGAGGACGCCGACCGCCCCGTTCCAACCGAACCGGTTGGAACGGGGCGAGAAACCCACCCCTGGTGCATAGACATGCCCACCCACCTGCACACATAATCCCACCTGTGCATGTGCGTGCAAAATCCCCCGCACCCCCCATGTGTGGGGGAGTTTTCGCCCTCCCCAGGCTACAGAGACTTTCCTGAAGCCTGGTGAGGGCGAAAAACGGCCCAACGGAAAGTTTGGTAATGAATTTTCGGTTGGCCCGTTGGGCCTCTTTTTTGCCCTCCCCAGGCTCCTGAGGCTTTTCTGAAGCCTGGGGAAGGCGAAAATGGCCTCCCCCGGCCCTCAGAAAGGCCAAAAATCAGCTGGTCGGTGCATGCATGAATGCCGGAGCTGAGGGATGCCATGCACGTGCCACCTGTGGCACACGTGCCATAGGTTCACCATCATGGATCTAGGTTAATAAACCTGAGATTTAGTAATTAGTGGAAACAAAAGCAAGAACTGGTCTCCTTTAGGCCATTCAGAAACAGAGAATAATACACAAGATTAGAATTTGTTTCACATTATTACTAAGGCAGGAGAACACTACTAGTTGGGTAGCACAGTACTCTTTCTTTGAATATTGTTGACGCAAAATTAACCAGTCTTGCCTCATGCAGGACACTCTTCATTTTAGGTCCATCCTCTTTCCATTTTTTATCCAGATTTCTGACCTGTTGCCCTTTGTATTGAGCGTAATTTAATGTCTTTCAGTATTCCTTTGGCAGTACAACAACTTCTGAAATGTATCGGGCTATTTTAGATTGCCAGTAATTTCAAATGTACTTCCTGTATACTTTCCTTATTATACCAGTGCCCAGAACATTTTGAACGATGGGATGACCTTGTTTAAGTCTTTTGGGTATTTTAATTAGCCTACATCTACATTTTGCTGATCTCCACTCTAAGAAAGTTTGGGAGGCTATAAAACCAGTTTTGGTTGCAATGGATATCGTAGTATTTATGGGGATTATTTGATTAAATCCTGGAGTAAAAAAAAGTTTAGGAGATATTGGACAAAACATATATGTTTGTTCAGCAAAAATAGAGAATTACTTCCCACCCTGCCGAGAGTTAAATCTTATTTAAAAACACTGGCATAAATCCAAACATATAAATACCCTGCAATATCTTTGGAATAATTTCAGTTATTCCAGATTCTCCATTGTTTTGGACTCTATTAAATTATTGTACAAAATTAATCCTTTCCTTCTGACCTGAGAGTTTAATTTAACAATATTTGTATTGTTAAACTCCTGAAACCCATAAGCAGAAACTAAGCCCCATTGGGAGGGGTGACTTATTGCAAACTCTTTTTGTGCTTCTGATATTAAATCTTTGTCCATATTAAATAGACAACCAATTTTGAAACTGACTTATAAAATATATTTGTTTATGTGAGTGAAGTAAGAATGGTTGAGCACCGTAATCTATAGGGTGAAGCTATGGAATAAGGTATTTGCTTAGTTTGATTGTAATTCCAAAATACTATGATTCTACTTTATCATAGTGCTTCTAAGTGTTAAAATTTGCTAAATTCTAAAAAGTGTAATTTTACCCTGATGAAATATTATGAGACAATAAGGAATACAAACCAGTTATGTATATGGAACATGCCATAGAGACATCTTATAAATGTCAGACACAATAACAATATCACCTCGGCCACAACTTAATTGAGCTGAACTTATAGGAAAAGCAAATGAAGAGACTACTTGATCACTGAGTCAATTCTTATACCTTAGATAGATAATTTATGAAGTTAGTTCAGTATAAATCTTAATCAGTTAAGATAACTGGTAAATTTATGTGCTGCTCTTGTAATTCTTTTAGCCCAACGACAACATTTTACTATTAGGATTCTCAGAACCAGGGCAGAATTTATAACCTTTTATCTGAATTTTTATCTCAATTAAGATCAACTGCTAGCAAAGTAACTATCCCGAGAAAATTGCCCTAATAAATATTTACTGACATTTGCACATCTATTTTTTGTGTTGTTCTGGCAACAAATATGAGTCTTTAATTTTAATCAGATACAGTAATCAGATGATGAAACCGAATACTTGTTACACCTATTTGCATTTTTCTTTGCTCTCATCTAGCAACCTGTAGATTTGAAAAGGAAGCAAGTAACATTTGATGTAAAAGTACTTTATTGAAAAATAAAAGGAAGAGCAGGAATCTCATAAACTCTGCTATATCCTTACCTGTGCTCTGATGGAGGGATCTTTTTTAATCCACTTTATCATTGTTTCGTAAACCAGTTCTTCTGTTTTTGTGTTTAGGCTGTCATTTGACATATAGGAAATGACGTCATCCTTTGAGATATTAAGTATCTCCTCTTGATTTGCCACTTCTGGGAAAATCTGCAGGGCGTAGGCCTTGGCCATATTGTAGAGTTCGCTGCACTGCATTGCTTCAGCCATGGCTAATATTCCTAAGCAATTGCTAGCAGTCAACTGTTTTTCTAAAAAGAACATAAGAAACAAAAGGTATAGGACAGGTCTTCCATTTTCTTGACCAATATTATTACATGCTACAGGTCACAAATGTATACCATGATGATGATTTTTATTCATTGTACATCAGAGGTGGGTTGCCAATTACTTTACTACTGGTTCAGGCATGCAATGCTTCTGCGCATGCGCAGAAGCGTCCGGGGGGGCGGAGCCTCCCAACACCGCTACTACCAATTTGGCCGATCTGGGCCGAACCGGCAGCAACCCACCTCTGTTATACATGTAGCCTGTCTGTCATTTCTTGTTCTGATTGTCATAAATAACAATAACACCTAGACTTATATACCGCTTCACAACACTTTCTAAGCAGTTTACAGAGTCAGCATATTGCCCCCAACAATCTGGGTCTTCATTTTACCAGCCTCAAAAGGATGGAAGGCTGAGTCAACCTTGAGCGGGTGAGGATTGAATTCCTGGCAGTGAGCTGAATTAGCCTGCAATACAGCATTCTAACCACTGCGCCACCATGGCTCATGCCATTTGAATGCCATCTGGAATCTCAAAGGGTGATTGGAGATGAAGGATAAATACCAGCCTCTAACAAATATGCAAAATGAGCCCAGCATATCTTAAATATTATGGTCCAAGAAATCAGAGAAGTTGGTGCAGTTAAGGATATTACTTCCTACCCACCCTGCACTGCAGTAGTGACTTTGCAGTTGTTTCCCAATTAAAACTCAAGATTTTGGGATTAAACAATTCTTGAAATTAATTGCATAAATAATTGTAAATCCTCAGAAAAAGATTAAAGTAAGTAAATCCTCAAGAAAGAAACCTCAAAAAAGATTAAGATAAATAAACTCTTAGTAAAAGATCCTCGGGGAGCCTTAAGAGTGTCACCCCAGAGGAAATTTTTTTTGAAAGTAAAGATATTTCAAAGGGAAGTCGAAATAATCTGAATCCTATATTGATCAGGGTAAAGATCTACTTTTATTTGGGGGGAAAAATCCTATTTAGTGATGGTGTGTGTGGGGAATCATGAGAAAGGCATTTTTCAGTGGAAAGGCATTTTTCAGTGGAAAGGCATTTTTCAGTGGAAAGGCATTTTTCAGTGGAAAGGCATTTTTCAGTGGAAAGGCATTTTTCAGT